GGGAAGCCTAGATTAGATGGATAGGTCTTTACAGAAATGGCTTGTTCGTGTTATTATGGAAAAACCAAAAGCTGTGATTTGATGCTAATGCCCTATTCTACTGCAAACAGAGAGAGTCAGAAGTCAGTGCTTCCTTGTCTTTTCTTTCCCCTATCTTTCTTCACTTCCTTTTCCTCTTTCTCCTGCCTCCTCGCTGCTCTTCACTTTTGTATTTTGTATTTTATAATACTTTATAACTTAACTTTTTAAAAATGTTTCTTTCTTTCTTTTTTATTAAAGAAAAGTTGCAGCCGATGGTGTGTGGAGCCAGGTCTTCTCCAACAAATCACCCTAGATCAGGGAACAATCAGGAAACAATGGCCCTTTTATGGCTTGTGGCAATCAACTCTCAGAATTCCTGAGCCAGCCGTACCCTGCCTAACCCTAACCCTCATCCTCTCACTTTCCCCGAAGTGAAATGTTCATTTTTTTCAGGATTGGGCTCTTGAAAGTTTCACTTTGGGGAAGGGAGAGAATGGAGAGAAAACTGTTGTCCCCTGCTGCTGGGTTTTAGAGATGGCATTGGAATTCAAATTTTTCTAGCATGGAAGGAAGGAAACTGTGGAGTCCTTGGTGCTCTCTGATGGTTGGCCGTTTCCTTGCAGGGGTTTCGTTACCCAAACTAGGGAACATCGTCAGTTAAGGAGGGCCTGTGGAGGGGGAGGGAGGAGAAGGAGAAAGGGTTGGAGAAGAAAGAGTGGTGAAGAAGTAGAAGGAGGAAGCATTGGAGGGAGTGAAGGAGAAAGGGTTGGAGAAGGAGGAGGAGAGAGAGTGGTGAAGAAGTAGAAGGAGGAAGCGTTGGAGGAAGTGAAGGAGAAAAGGTTGGAGAAGGAGGAGGAGAAAGAGTGGTGAAGAAGTAGAAGGAGGAAGCGTTGGAGGGAGTGAAGGAGAAAAGGTTGGAGAAGGAGGAGGAGAAAGAGTGGTGAAGAAGTAGAAGGAGGAAGCATTGGAGGGAGTGAAGGAGAAAGGGTTGGGGAAGGTGGAGAAAGAGAAGGAGAGAGTATCAGAGGAGGAGGAGGAGGAGAAAGGGTTGGAGGAGGAGAAGGGCAGCTCTGGGGTCTTTGGAGACCCCTGTTCTAGGGCATCTGATCTTCGCCATCCAGCGCTTTTTCTTCATGTCTCCGCTCTAGGGACAAGCTGGCAGAACTGCACGGGAACATGTTCGTAGAGGAATGCATGAAATGTGGCAAGTATGTTCCTTTAATTACACACACACACACACACACACACACACACACCCTTCCAGCTGCTTTTACGTGCCTGAAAAAACAAACGTGGCTTTTAATCACAGTGATTTATTTATTTTTTAACCAGGGATGCTCAGCATTCTTAAAGCGGGACACCACCCTGCAGGATTTCTGCCATGGTGATTAGTGGCCTGGGTTGGCTCTCTTAGAAAGGCATCATCATCATCTTTTAATCACCCCATAATCCCTTGCGGGGTGGAGTCTAGGCAACTGAACGGAGCTAGCAGAGTGTTCTACTGGCCGGATGCCCTTCCTGTTGCCAGTGAGGAGTTTTGTTCAGCAGATATATTCTTGTTGTTTCCAGAGGGAGAAATATCTGCCTCTACCTAGGATCGAACTCACATCCTCCTGACTGTGACGTGAGAGCTCCACCTCTAGGCCAGCGTAGTCCTCCTCTCTCTTAGCAAGACATCCTCCCCTAATTTTAGTCAAAAGGAGAATCTGGATCTTCCCCATCCCAGTGAAAGTATCTCAGCGGCCTATCAGGATGTCAATTCGCCACAAGTCAGGGACTCAGGCCAAGAGACGGTGGTTCCCACCCCTGGAAGCAGAAGACGCTCATCCGAGTTGGGAGCTGTTGATGCGTAGTCCCCTCCCTCGGTCCAAGATGTGGATGGCAGCAATGCTTCCCACTTAGTCTACTAGATAAGGCAGCAAAGCTAGAGACCGGGAGACTAGGAGCTCTAGTCCCATCTTAGGCCTGAGAGCCAGCTGGGTGATTTTGAGCCAATCACCAGGAGACTGGGAGTTCTAGTCCCGCCTTAGGCGTGAGAGCCACTTTCATGGGGGACTTTGGGCCAATCACCAGGAGACTGGGAGTTCTAGTCCCGCCTTAAGGCATGAGAGCCACTTTCAAGGGGGACTTTGGGTCAATCACCAGGAGACTGGGAGTTCTAGTCCCGCCTTAAGGCACGAGAGCCACTTTCATGGGGGACTTTGGGCCCATCACCAGGAGACTGGGAATTCTAGTCCCGCCTTAAGGCACGAGAGCCACTTTCATGGGGGGCTTTGGGCCAATCACTAGGAGACTGGGAGTTCTAGTCCCACCTTAAGGCATGACAGTCACTTTCATGGGATCACTTTGGGCCAATCACCAGGAGACTGAGAGTTCTAGTCCCGCCTTAAGGCATGAGAGCCACTTTCATGGGGGACTTTGGGCCAATCACCAGGAGACTGGGAGTTCTAGTCCCGCCTTAAGGCATGGCATGAAAGCCAGCTGGATGACTCAGGACCAGTGCCTCTCTCTCAGCCCAACCCACCTCATAGGGTTCTTCTGGGGAAACTAAGGGGAAGAAAATGTGTTGGATTTGTTCGCCCCCCCCTGAGTTATTTGTAAAAATCATAAAAGACGGGAAACAAAATTAAAGAAATAAATACCAATGAATAAATCAAGGCCTGGTTATCATTGCCACCGGCGTGTCTTCTTTTTATTCTATTGTTTTTTTAAGGCAATACGTGAGGGATACCGTTGTGGGCACCATGGGACTCAAACCCACCGGCCGGCTCTGCGACGTCTCCAAACACCGAGGGCTCCGATCCTGCAGGTGCGTACGCCCCACGGCTGCCTCCCCATGACTCCTTCCCAAAGGATGAGCCCCGTTCACACCCCAGTCTCGTCACATAAAGACGGTTTCATTGATTGGCCATGCGGTGTGAATGCAGCCCGTTTGATACCTTAATGACAGGTAGCCCTCAGCTTACGACGCTTTGTTTAGTGACCCTTCAAAGCAGGGGTCTCCAAACTTGGCCACTTGAAGGCTTGTGGACTTCAACTCCCAGAATTCTCCAGCCAGCATAGTCCACAAGCCTTCAAGTAGCCAAGTTTGGGGACCCCTGGTTCAAAGTTACAACGGCACTGGAAAAACGGGACTTATGACCGTTTTTCACACTTACGAACCTTTGCAGTCTCCCTGTGGTCATGCGATCCAAATTCAGACACTTGGCAACCGACTCATATTTGCGACGGTTGTAGTATCCCAGGGCAACGTGGTCCCCTTTTGCGATCTTGTGACAAGCAAAATCGACGGGGAAGCCAGATTCACTTAACAACCGAGTTACTCACTTATCAACTGCTGTGATCGATCCATAAAATAGGATTAATCCTATGACATTTAGAATAGGGTGATTGGCATAAAAATAACACCGTGAAATGCTGAATATCTAAATAATGAAAGATTATAGAATCTATATATATATAAAAGCGAAAGACCCCCTCATGCATCATCACAAAATCTCCAGAGCCATAAAGCCTATGAACTTGAAATTTGGCCCGTATCTTCCTCTTGGCTTCTAGCTGCTCACTAAGAAAGGATTTTTCCAAATGACCCTCAGAGCATTAGAATTTCCTATATGATTATTATTAACACGCTGTGATGCTAAAGAGTTCGACTCCCCCTCCCAACCTGGAAAGAAATCTCTTCCAAATGCAAAACACAAGCGGAGGAGAGGAGTTTCAGTTTTACTTTCATAGCAGCACCAAGCAGCTTTAGTACAGAACAGTTGAGCTAAGCCATGCCCAGGCTCCTTGCTGTCTCCTTGCTCACTGTTTCAGTTTCCAATACTGTTTCAGTTTCCAAACAGTCCTCAACACTCTCACACACTGACAGGACGCAAGCCAGATGAATACCGCTAGCGGGATGCTAGCCAGATGGATGCTGGTTAGGCAGAGACAGAATTTTTTTCTCCTTATTTTCCTCCCCGAAAATAGCCTGACCACATAGTTTCATAGCGAAGCACCGGTATCAAGCTTGTTTAAATATATAATACACATAAATACGTGTATTATTATTATTATTAGAATTATACAAGCTTGTTAAATGAAACAAATATGATCAATACTACCTCATTGGTATCAAAATGTATGTCACTCGGGTGACACACTGTTGACGCATTGACATGTTTGCAAAAAAAAAAAACATTAAAAAACCCTGCAGTGATTCACTTAACAACTGGAGCAAGAAAGCTGGTAAAATGAGGCAAAACTCACTTAACAAATGAAGGCAAGCTTTTTCTACTGGTTAATTGGTTAAAAACTGGTTTAAAAGTGGTTTAATAGTATCAGTCAAAGGCCGGGGGTGGGGGGCATGCCGGGAGTCCCCACTTCCCTTCGTATTTGGGAGCAAAATGCCTGTTATGGAGGGCAGGGTGCTTAATGGGTGGCCATTGCACCCCACAGCTGCCACTCCCACCCGGGAAGGGGTGTGTGGAAACCCCTCTCAGCCTAAATGCTTTCAGCTGGCATTAAATCTCGACAAGATTACTAATAGCAACTTGGGGATCCTTTGTGGAGAGGGAGCTGCTTAGAAAAAAGGCAGGGAGAAGATCAAGGGTGGGATTCTACCAGTTCACACCTATTCGCTTAGAACCGGTTGTTAACATTCTAAGCAGTTCGGAGAACCGGTTGTTAGAAGAAATTACAGGGCTAATCCTGTAAGGAAGGCAGGAAGGAAACATTCTGGTGTTGCTTACAGAAACTGCCTCTCCGTTAACCCTTATTCCATTCTTGGCAGGACTAGACTTCCTGTCTCAGGAACGTCTCTGGAGTTTTCTTTCCCTCCTTTGCTGGTACTTTGCTTGTGTGGAGTGACCATTCAAAGTTACAATGGCGCTGAAAAAAGTGACTTATGACCCTTTTTCACACTTACGACTATTGCAGCATCCCCACAGTCAGGAGAGGCCAGGCGAGGAGATGCATGCCTCGATGTGAGTGATGTTGAGATGGCCACACCCAACCAGTCACATGACCACCCAGCCACGCCCACCCAGCCACATGCCCACCAAGCCACACCCACCACCTAAGCCACGCCCACAGAACCGGTTGTTAAAAAAAAATTGGAATCCTAACCCTGGAGAAGATGGGTTGTCTTTAACAGTCCCTGCTCAATTTGCACCCATCTCAGTCCTTCATTGTCTGCCGGAAGAAAGCTGGGAAAGGTCCCTGGAAGGTCTTCTAGTCCAGCCCCCTGCTCCAAATTTGGGGCAGCCCTATGCCATTCCAGACGAATGGCTGTCCAATCTCTTTCTCAAACCTCCAGTGATAGAGCAACCATAACTACTGGCGGGCAAAGCAGTCCCACTGGTTAATTATAATTCTATTATACTTCATTATAATTAAGGTTGCTTCTCTCCTCGATTAATTTCCGTCCATTGCTTCTTATCCTGCCCTCAGGGGCTTTGGAGAATAGATTGACGGCCCCCTCGTCCTCCTCTTTGGGGCAGACCCTGAGATAACGGACGATGCTCTGATGTCCCCCGTGGTCCTTCAGTCTGGCCCTCCCCAGTCGTCGTATTCTTCCTTTCCTTTGGCCCATTAAAATTCCCTCAACTGGAGACTGCAAATGGCCATCAACGCAGGTCAGTTGTCGAACACCCCAAATGCGTTCACAGGACCCTGGGGAGGCGTGTGGCGTAGACCCCGGGAATTACAAAGTACCTTTGTTAAGTGCCTTTGGGGGAGGCTGATCTGTTGTAGCTTGAACTTCGAGCCGTTGTTAAACAAGGACTACAGGTAGCCCTCAACGGCCACAACGGGCCATTCACAACCAAGCTTTCCGTTGCTAAAGCGGGACGTTGTTTAAAAGTGCGTTTCGCCTCCTGTTACGACCTTTCTTGCCACCGTCCTTAAAGCGGATGCCCGCAGTTGTTACTCACGTGGTTGTTAAGCGAAAACCAGGCTTTCCCTGTTGACGGGGCTCTTCCGAAGGTCGCGAAAGGGGATCACGTGTTTCCCCCCCCCAGGAGACCACAAACTGTCGTAAATACGAGTCGGTTGCCCGAGCGCCTGGATTTGGATCTTGTGGGACGCAGCGGTCATAAGGGTGAAAATGGTCATCCGTCCCCTTTTTTCCCAGGGACATTGCAATTTCAAACCGTCACTAAATGACCTGTGTTCCATCTTGAGGATTACCTTGATCTAGAGCAGAGGTCTCTTTGGCTGGGGAATTCTGGGAGTTGAAGTCCCAGAATTGCTCTGGGGTTTGGCAGATCCCTGATCAGTATCAATGAGCCAGAGATCGGATGCAAACTCCGGTGGGCCAAACAGGAAAAATCCAAGCCACCTGTCCAACTTCCTGGGGGAAAAAAAAACAAAATCCCATGGAATCCATGTCTATTCCTCCTTCCCAAGATCAGATCCTCCCTGTCTTTTATTTTGTGAGCTGCTTGCTTTTCATAAAAGGCCTGTTAGGGAGACACCCTAGCAGAATCTGCACGGCAGGCAGGCAAGCAGGCAAAATATGAGAGATAAACGTTTTTGTAGCTTACACTCAGTAAAAACAGATACACCGTGCTAGTTAAATAGTTTATTCCAGTAAGAGTTTTAGCATAGTCAAAACAGTCCATATATCATTCACTAGTTCAGTCCGTCCAGGGATTGTACAGTTACAAAGTCCAGTGTCGAAAAAGAGGTCAGTAAACTTACAAATATCAGTCCAATAATATATCTCCTCGCAGTAGAGATATGAAGAAGTCAAAAACTCCTTTCTTCCTTCAGCAGCAGGGAACACGCAGTTAGCAAACCATCAATCCATCAAACCAGCAAGCGTCTCTTGCTCCCTCTTATGGCGGTTTCACAACCGCACCCCAAATTACATGCTTTGCAGTTTAAAGGGACACCCACTTAAACTTACTATCATAGTTTATATATATATATTCTTTTACCCAAACTACGTTAGGTAACCTTGTTATTCCTAACAAGGCCCTTCCAATTCCTGTCCGCTGGAGTTTGGAAGATGTGGGTTGGGGGTCTTCATTCACGTCTTCCAACTCTCTGGAGGAAGAGGAAGGGGGACAGGGGGAGGTTGGGACTCCTGAGGGTAGAAATACACCCCAAAACTCTGGGAGGGAGGGGAAGTATTTTTAAAAAACGCTTTTATTTCCCGTTCACCGTTGGTTTGATCATTGTGCCTTTTTGTGTTTTTTTTCCTTAAAGAGGCAAGTTAATGGACACCATCTTAGACTGGGAGGACTCCCTGCCGGACCGGGATCTCAATTTGGCCTCCGAAGCCAGCAGGTCAGTTTTTCCACAACACCGGTTCCAAATTTCCGAATCTATCCACAGGGGTGGGCGGAAGCCACCGTTGAGGAAGCCAAGGTGAAGACCGACGGGGTTCACAAACCACTTGGAAAAGGTCACCAGGAGAAGAGAACCTGTGTAGCTCAGGATTGAACTGGGCCACTCTGAGCTGGGTGGTTTTCTCGCAGACGTTTCGTGACCCGGCTAGGTAACGTCATCAGAGCTAGAAGGGACTGAGGTTTGTGGAACGGAGGAGGAGGAGGAGGAGAAGCTGGGCCGCTATGAGGTCCTTGGTGCTCTCTGAGCTTGGTAGTTCCCTGCAGACATTTCATGACCCAACTAGGTAACACCATCAGTGCTCGAAGACAGTGGGGTTGGCTCTCTGTTTATATACAGGTTGTCAAGTATTAAACAATGCTCCAAGGAATTACCAACTCAGACCAACAATAGAATAGAATAGAATAGGAATAGGAATGGAATGGAATGGAATAGGATATTGGAATGAATAGAGAATAGAATAGGAATAGAAGAGAGGAGAGGAGAGGAGAGGAGAGGAGAGGAGAGGAGAGGAGAGGAGAAGAGATGGAATTAGAATAGACTATTGGAATAAAGAATAGAATAGAATAGAATATATTGAATTAGAATAGAATAGGAATAGAATAGAATAGAAAATATGGAATGAATAAGGAATAGAATAGAATAGAACGAATAAGGAATAGAATAGAATAGAATAGAATATATTGAATTAGAATAGAATAGAATATATTGAATTAGAATAGGAATAGAACAGAACAGAACAGAACAGAACAGAACAGAACAGAATAGAATAGAATAGAATAGAATAGAATAGAATAGAATAGAATAGAATAGAATAGAATTCTTTATTGGCCAAGTGTGATTGGACACACAAAGAATTTGTCTTGGTGCAAATGCTCTCAGTGTCCATAAAAGAAAAGAGACATTCGTCAAGAGTCAAGAATCATCAGGTCCAACACTTAATGACAGTCACAGGGTATAAATAAGCCATCAAATCATACTAGGAAACAGTCAATATAGAACATAAAGATACAAGCAACAAAGTTACAGTGCTACAGTCCCAAGTGGGAGGGGAAGGGTGATAAGGAGTGATGAGAAGGTTAATAGTGACAGTATTGCAGGCTTTGTAAACAGTTGGACAGTGTTGAGGGAATTATTTGTTTAGCAGAGTGATGGCTTTCGGGGGAAAAACTGTCCTTGTGTCTCGTTGTTCTGGTGTGCAGGGCTCCATAGCCTCGTTTTGAGGATAGGAGTTGAAACCGTTTATGTCCAGGATGTGAGGGGTCTCGCAAAGAAAAAACAATAGGCTAACCAATCAGGCAACACTGTTGGGGCAAGCCACTGGTATATTAACAGAGAGCAACTCCTCCTCCTCCTCCTCCTCCTCCTCCTCCTCCTCCTCCTCCTCCTCTCTTCCTCTCCACAAACCTCTCCCACTTCCAGCACTGATGACGCTGCCTAGTTGGGTTTATGAAACATCTGCAAGAAAACCACCCAGCTCAGAGAGCACCCAGGGGGCCATGCAGGCCTCCTCCGCCTCCTTTCCACAAAATTTCACTGCCTTACCCACCCAAACTAGGGAGAGCAGAGCCAATGGGTGGTCCCTGAGCCCCATGGCGCCCACAGCGGTGCCCCTCACATATTTTCTTCAAAAATAACAAGAAGACACAGCTGCTACCAGACAACAACCAGACCTTCCTTGAAATTCCTTAATATTTAATTTGTATCCCACCTTTGATGATTTTCACAGGCGGGGCAGATCAAGGGAGGTGTTAGGGAGACACCCTAGCAGAATCTGCACGGCAGTCAGGCAGGCAGGCAAAATAT